ATCAAGACGAAGAGAATGAGCTTTCAATCATCAAAATCGGAGTACCTTTATTTTTTGGCCTAAAAAAATGGAAAGGGGTACCACTTGCCATTTTTTGGGGTCGAAAAATCAAAGTTGTCCGATTTTCAAGTTTGACCACTCATTCTCTTCGTCTTAATGCGTAGAAATGCGGAATCGGGTCAAACTTATGAAAAATTAATTATTTCACCCCTAAAATGGGGTAAAACGGGAACTTGTATCAATTTTAGCATCAATTATGCTCCAAAAATAATTTTCATTATATCGACTTTATAGCTTTCGTCGAGATCCTCTATTTGAGTCCTCTATCAACCCCGTAGCTTTATTAGAATAGAAGTTATGCACATTTTTATCTTTTACCATTTTTCCCCCATATATCATTATTTCATTAATCTCATTATATACATTGTTTTTGCAAGTAGAAAATATTTAACGTACGGTTGAAGTGAAGAGGAAAAATTTACAAAAAAAAAAAAAAATTTTGTTCCTCAAACGTTCCCCATAGTCTCACGACGGGAACGTCGAGGAACTTCCTCACTACGGAACCTTCGGAGAACTTTTGAGGTACGAAATTTCTTTATACGAGAATGTGTTGTGCATCTAGATTATTATGTTTTGCATTTTTTATGGAATATATCGAATGTTTTTCCCTCGTTTTAATACATAAATTATAAGTTCGTCATGTATTTTCTGACACATCAAACAATTTTTATAAATACGGATTTATTCTTTAATACAACATTATTTACATAACAATAAAAATAATTCCACTGAATAAAATAAGAGATATTTATTTTTTTTTTTGAAATAAAAGTTAATAAAAATAATTTTATTTGATGGAGTGAAAAATTTAATGTGAGAATGAGTCAACAGTTCATCGATGAAAATGAAGTTATCAATAAACATAAAAAACAGACTTATTGGAAACGAAGAAATCGATTGCTTAATATATGATTCATTTACCAAACTTCTAAGCTTGATGGTACGTTAATTGAAGACTGGGGATTCATTACAAACTTTGTTAATGTTTAACACCATATTCATTATTACTTAATAAGTTTGAAGAAAGTTTTTGTTATCATCATAATTGAGTTTTTCAATACTCTATTGTTTTTCTTTTTTTGTTGAAGAAACAAACAATGAAGAAAAAAAATCCTAAGGAAACAATTTTTCTTTCTAATAATCATGTTACAGCCTTCATCTCGTTGATGGTTAAATTATTTCTATAACAGAGCAAAGACGAAACTGGTAGTCATTAGAAAATGATTGTTCCTAAACGTTTCACCATCAAAATATAAGCAATTTCAGAACCTCCTTTACAAGTTGAAGCCATCGGTATGTTGTGGTTACCTCAATAATCTTGCCAGCGCGTCTTGAATCGAAATAGTTGCGCAGTTTGGTCGTTTCCGCTTCCGAAATGGGAGTCGTCTTCCTTGTGAGACGAGTACTGCAAAAGAGGGATTGGCGGTATGCCCGAATAATTCGTAGATTCGAAGTTTCTACGAGATTAATGAGAAGCATCGATCGATTTGATTACTCTACGAGGTTTCTTTATTATATACAAAACGATAGCCAAAAACTTAAAGCATGAGATAATCATTGAAATATATATATATATAAGTTATATTGAATTTCTTGGATCCAATATGTGTATCAACATCGAAAACATTTGCATATTAAAATGATATCATTTTTAATTCTTTTTTTTCAAGCTCAACAATAATAGAGATGAAAATCCAAGTTCTATTCAATTTCGATACAAATTATGTATTGATTCATTTGGAAATGTATTATTATTATGCATTTGAACTGGGTCGGGGGGTCGTTGTTCTAGCATTTTTATAAACCTATTCATGTTCTTATATCCGCTTATCCACCGTCATACTATGACTGCTTTATGTTCAAACATGTATGTAATCCTTATTCGTCGAATTATTCTAATCGTTCTTAATTCTCTTTTATTGAAGATTCAATAAATTATTTTCTTTGTTTCATCATAAATAATAAACATCTCTTATTATTACTTAAACAATAGCTTGTATTCTATAACGCTGTTGTAGACTCTCATCAGTTGATTACTTAATTAACTGTCATTTAATTAGTAAATCATGAATTTTGTCTAATTTTATGCTTCTCAGTACGAAATAATTAGATTATCTCTCAAGAGGTCGACGATTAATTAAAGTCTTTAGTTTTTTTTTTTTTTCAATGTTGTTTATGGTGAATGGGTTGTTTTTTGTTTAAGAAATCTGTTTATTGTGATTTTCAGGGACATTAGCTATCTAAATTTAGAGCTTATTTTCATTCATTCTGTTGTTGTTCGTAACTAGTCATGCACAATACATGCATCGTCGCGCTTTAACTCAATTGCACTATACAGAACTCAACCAACCACGTTAATTCAGTCATGTATAATTTCACAAATACCAACATGTAATCTTGAGGAAAGCAGAAATGCGAAGCATGTTTAATAAGAATTAAGGAAGTTTAAATGAGATGCTCATAAAATCAATTATCCATATTCATTGATTTATCAATTATCTTTATTGTTGACATATTTTCCTTTCATTTTTCCCCTTCTCATACCATGTCAATAAAACAGTAGATTAAATTTTTATTTTATAAAAATAAATGATATTTTTTATATTGGAAATATTTGTTGATTAAATTTTGAAAGTATCAATTTATGACAATTTGAATCAAGCTTTTCATGTATTGGTATGTTAAATGAACGAAAGACTTTCACTAGCTAATTTAAATATTTAAATAATAATAATGAATCATTTGATTATTTTATTTTTTGTTAAAATGTAAAATAAAAATTCAAATGCTTTTAAACTATCAAAAAAGTATTTTAATTGTATAAAAAATGATATACATTTAAAAATCGACATTAAATTGATTATAAGTCATGATAAAAAATTTTAAAACCCTTTTACATGAAATTAATTGCATTTGAAATGTTTAAAAAAAAAATTTGATTCGGGAAGTAATATATCTGTGATAATAAAAGCAAAAAAAAAATTAATAATATTGATAAATGTTTTTAATTCTAATTTAAAAAGTTTATCTTGAAGAAACATGAATTAAATAGACATGATGTACATGGCAGCATTCAGATAGGAATAGTATATTGGTAAACGAATGGGGTAGAGAAGATAGGAAAACTAGTTGACTCAAATTCGATGAAAGTAGACTTTATTCACATTGATAAACCAAATGCTGTAACATTCAAATAGTATTCATCTCTCACGATGCACGATACTTTTCGTTTCTTTAATACTACCTTCATTCTTCTTTCTATACGTATACATGAATATATGTCTAGCTATTGGCAATGGCTCATCCAGTTAGGAAAGAAATCCATGGAAATCCTAAAAATGGTATTCTAAGCCATCTCAAATGCAACTCGGTTCCACTTGCTCTTACATTTGTCGGAATCACGGAATGTCAAGTGTCGACTTTTCAACTCTCTAGAATTCCAGATGGTGTTTACATAGCAATGTGAAAACACAGATATTCCACTGGTTCCTCATAAAATTATCTTGACTTTTTAGATAAATATATATAGACATACATAAAATAATGTTAAGCTCGAAAAAAAATATTCTCATTTACTCAACAACTAATGTAATGCAAATACGAGTTATTTAAATTCTCATACATTTATTTACTTTTGTTATTAAAAATAAATTCAAAATCCTGATTATTTGTCGGGTGGTTAGAATATTCAAATCTAACAGAGTACTTCTCATTAAAGGAAAAGTTGAAATGAAACTGCAATTTTTAAACTTCAATTTCAAGTCTTTAATCTACTAACTTTATTTTTTTGGAAAAATATATTTCTCTTCTGAATGAAAATAAGGATAAAACCAATGTTTCTATTACTCATTTGTACTTTGTATTATTTTTTATTATCAATAAACAGAAACAAAATTTTTTTGATGAGTTCCACGTTGTCTATGATATAATATTTTTGTTGACAATTATAGATCAAAAGTATTTGCGTTTAGATGTCAATATTTATAGACAATATTGAATTAATATAAAATGAGGATAGAGTTTTTGGATATCTCGATCAATTATTATATTTTCAAAATACATGAGAAATGAATATAATATTCTGTGTGTACCATGTTGATAAATTTCATCGAATGATTGTTGGCTGATCCAAATTACGAGGGAAACACTTGCCAAGTCAATAAATTGAAATCATACTCGTATACCTGACTGCAATGCTAACCACGTGTGCGCACAGTAAATATGAAATATTTCTATGACTTACAGATACGCAATAATTTGGTATTTTGACAACTGACCGTTAGCTCTTGGAACACAGGCTGGAGTATCAGTTGGACATTAATTTTCCCGAATGCACAGCTTTGAAATAAATTTATACACAAATATTGCACAAAATTAAATTTTATTACTAATAACAATTCTGTATTTCATTTAAAAAAAGATACATATCCACTAGTTATTTGGTCGTCATATCCATCATATAAAGTAGGTAAAATTACTTTCGGAGAAAATTATGGAAATGAGAAGAAATTTCATTATGGTAATAGTAATGGCATAAAATTGCATAAATCGTTCAATAGACAAAGGATTTGAGAGAACAAAATAGGACACAAAACGTTGACAAAGCGTCACAGTGAAACAAAATAAAGACAAACGCAAAGGTGGTGATGAAGGTGTTGAAGAAGAGAAACCACTTTTATCACGTTTCCACTATTCGAGCATTCTGTCCGTTTTCTGTCACACGTTCGCCAAATTGAAGCAATTAAACTGAAAAAAATTAATGAAAGTGGGGAAGCAAGAGCGTGTAAAATCAGTAAATTTATTTGAAATGTCGTTTTTCACCCTTTTGAAGGCTTTTTTATTTTTAAAAATATTCAATTAACGATGTGCTCACATTAAACACAAATACTTTTTTTTATGCAAAAATTCTCTCCAAATGACTTTCTAAAAAATATTGAGATTTGCAGATGCAGTAATTTGGCCTCCATGAACGCTTAATTGTCCGATTACTGATTTACAAAAAGCACGAAGAGTAAAGAAGAGGGTTGAATAAGAGGATGAAAAAAATTTGAAAAAATTGAATGAGTATATTCATCAGATGAAATAGAATGTAAAGAAGAGAAAAATTAAAAAGAGTGATATAAACCTTCTAGATTCTCACATATGTAGGTTAAAATTTATGTAAAATGTGCCACCTCACTGGAGGTAAATATCCATGTTGAAACCGCACGCCATTACGTGTTCTGTATTTTGCAGCTCAAGCTTCCTAGTTAATGCATTTTAGACGGCTACTTCCATGTATACTCTTGCTTGTACAAATTTATGAACTTTCTTCGGCCTCTTTTGTACTCTCTGTTTCACTCTATATCCATACTTACGATATATCCATAGCAACAAGAGGTTACAATGCTTTTTTCTCCAGAAATAACGAGCTAAAACATAAGAGAAAAAAGTGTAAGATTGTTTTAACTACTTAACATCACTGTTCTCGTACATTCTACCTGTATATAATAAGGCCATGGGTGTTTAATTTTTGCCGTTATAAACGATAGTTTAGAGGTGAAAAAAGAATGTTTTATGTCTTAATCCTTTATAATCCTCTATAATTTTTTTGTTTTATTTTTTGTTTTGTTCGTTTACGTAAATACTGATAAATAATCCTGTGTTAAAAACTGAAATATTTATTAAACTCGGTTCAGAATATTATTTATGGAATTATTCGGTTGATGAATAAATTTCAATTAAAAGTTACAATGCAAATAAAATAAAAGTTCATCATTCGAAGTATTGTAAGTCTTTTTCATCTTAAAAACATTTTTTCGTTGAAAAATATTTGTATAACGTATTAATAGTGGTAAATTAAATGGTAGGAAATTTTTTAATAAAATTCCAGTAAAATAGAAGCAGGATAAATGAAGGTAATTTATAACAAATTAAAAATTACTAATGTTAACGTGTATTCATAATATGAGGTCGTGAAACGTGCACCGTGATAAAAGTTGGGTATGATGATTTTTTGTTTCTTTTTTACTGAACATAAGCTCTGGGTAATTTACGGGATGATACTTCGTCTAAAAAACATGCGCCTGCACTCAGTAGCTATTGCATAGAATTTGTACTCATGAAAAAGCTCAACACGTTTAGCGGTAAACTGCCTGGTGAGTTTTTTGTTACTCATCCGCGTACTACGTGGTAATTCTTTATTTTAGTACCGTAAATAAAGAACATATGCATCATGGAAAATTATGTTCATGTGCAGTTGACAAATTCATCTGTTAAAACTAATTTAAGTAAATAAATTTATATGTAGTTAATGAATTAACTCATCTTTAATCAACTTTGTTTTATGACTATTTTTTTATTCAAAATTTAAGAAAATAATCAAACTTTTTGTTCAACTTTTTTAGAAGAATTATAATGAAATATGGAAAAGTGTCACTTGAAGCATCAGAAAAATATAAATGGAAATATCCTGTTTTTTTTCTTTCAAGTACAGTTGGATTTTTTGAATTTTGCAATTATGTTTATTTTTGAAGCTTAATTAAAAATTTTATTTGATTTTTAATTGATTGTTTTTTTATTTATTTTGTAAATAAATTAATCAGTAAATCATATGTTGTAAAAAATATTAGAAAAGAATAGAGAAGGAGTGCATCTTTTTTTGTTATAAATAATTTTAAATCTCATTCTTAAGCTTAACTCGCACAAAGAGTAATAATTATTTTTTACTTGACAGCTATCAATTTTGTTGAATACTAAAGAGTGTGCTTTATGTCCAGTACTTTACATTAATGGCATCGATTAAACTTTTATAGTAGCACCTTAGAGAGAAAAATATCTTGTTTTTTTACAAAACAAATTTGAAAGTGTTAATTTTGGTTCTTACAACCCAACAAAAAAAGAATAAAAAAGCTCAGAAAAAAAATTGCTTCAACAATGTTTTTGTATAGACTTGTTTATTTTCGAGTTTATCTATTTATCATCAAACTGATTACATGCAGCAATAAATGTCTAGATGTGAATTACAAGAAAATTAAATTTCCCTACAAAAAAAGTGGTGGAAAAAAAAACAATCGACAAAAACTAGCATTTACTCTAGTCACGTAGTTAAACAAATTGGTATAATAGCCAAGCAAAAAAAATCTTGACAGCTCAAATTCTCTAGTTATATGATACACCATGACACGTCGTCTACATGCCAACGTCAATCGTGCTCCACAATAAATTTATGGAGAACAATGCATTACGTAAATAGTGAATGATGCGTACGATAGAGAGACAGAACAAGCATTCCATAACCCTGGTATTTTGTCATTTGAAATGCCACATGAATCGTGGGTGAAATTATGAGTAAAAACTGGAAACTAAAAGAAACAGACTTTAAATCACTGCTTCCAGATTGAGCTTTTCGTGCAAGTACCGAGTTGACTGGCGCCACGTAACTTTTCAAATCAATCAATCGTCGATATTACAAACCAATAATTCATAGTTGGAAATTTATTTGAGATAAACTAAATTCTAATTTACCAGCAACTTGATTGATTTATATAAAAAACTACATTCTCTAATCGCCAAATGATGGCATTTTAAAATCAATAAATAAGATGAATTATTTTTTAGAGATTTTAATAACATTTTTATCGTTATTGAAAATCCATTTGGAAAATTATTGACAGCAAATATTATTTCACATTACAGTCCAGAAATGTTTTAAGACTAAAAAATAATAGAATGAATATTTATTTCAGAATTAATTGATAAACTTGATATGATGAAGCTTGGTTTGTTTTATAGATAATAAAAGTAATAAGCAAAGAGCAATTGATACTTGACTGTCAATATAAATCAATTTTTTTTTACTCACATGAAGACGTAATTATTAATTATCTAATCATCAAGTGAATTATTTGATAGTCCAGAAAGAAGCACTTGTACTCATTCAGATGAGAACATGAATAAATGGAGAATCCATTTTTATGATCAGAATTTAATTATTTCCCGTATAAAAAAATTTTAGAACCCCTCGAGAGACTGTGGGGAACGTTCAGGAAACAAAACTTTTTTTTTTTTAATGAAATAATTAATTTTTTATAAGTTTGACCCGATTCCGCATTTCTACGCATTAAGACGAAGAGAATGAGTGGTCAAACATGAAAATCGGACAACTTTGATTTTTCGACCCTAAAAAATGGCAAGTGGTACCCCTTTCCATTTTTTTAGGCCAAAAAATAAAGGTACTCCGATTTCGATGATTGAGGGCTTATTCTCTTCGTCTTGATGCGTAGAAATGCGGAATCGGGACACAGCCCGAAAAAATCCACTTTAACACCCTCAAACAGGGGTAAGACTGGATACAAATTAATAATAATCATCCCCTTGACTTTAAACCCTTATAATCCATGAACGGACAGTCCAATGAGCGTTTTTAGGGACGTTTTTGAAAGCTTAGAATCTGAGCTATCTAACAATATCCATAAATTTATAGAAAAAAATTTCTTTCACCCTTAAAATAGACAAAATGGGGAAAAAATCACATTTTTGTGGGAGTTTTCCAACTATTTTCGCAATTTTTAGGTGAAATCAATTTTTTTTTAACATTTTTTTTGGATATATATCTTTAGCTTAGATTCTGAAGTTTCAGAGCAGCCCTTAAAAATCATTATTCGATGACTTGTATGAGAGTTATGGAGGTTTAAAGTCAGTTGATGGTCCAACAAAATCATCTGTCTTGAAACTTTTTTAACCTCAATAACTCTACAAGTCCATCGAATAATGATTTTTAAAGGGCTGTTTTGCAAACTTCAGAAATCTAAGCTAAAGCTATATATCCATAAAAAATGTTTTTTCATTAAAAAATTTATTTCACCTTAAAAATTGCGAAAATAGTTGGAAAACTCCCACAAAAATGTGATTTTTTCCCATTTGTCTATTTAGGGTAAAGAAACTTTTTCTATAAAATTTATTGTCATATTTAGATAGCTCAGAATTCTAAGCTTTCAAAAACGTCCTCAAAACGCCCATTGGACCGTCCGTTTCATGGGTTATAAGGGTTTTTAAGTCAAGGGATGACGATTATTAATTTATTTGTATCCAGTCTTACCCTGTTTGAGGGTGTTCAAGCGATTTTCGGGCTGTGCCCGATTCCCGATTTCTACAACGTGAGAAGAAGCGAATGAGCCCTCAATCATCCGAAATCGGAGTTACTTTATTTTTGGGCGAAAAAAACTGGAAGGGGTACCACTTGCCATTTTTTTTGGGGTCGGAAAAAATCAAGTTGTCGATTTCAAGTTTGACCACTCATTCTCTTCGTCTTAATGCGTAGAAATGCGGAATCGGGTCAAACTTATGAAAAATTAATTATTTCACCCCTAAAATGGGGTAAAACGGGAACTTGTTTCAATTTTAGCATCAATTATACTTCAAAAATGATTTTAATTATATCGATTTTATATCTTTCGTCGAGATCTTTTATTTGAGCCCTCGATCAACCCCGTAGCTTTATTAGAATAGAAGTTATGCACATTTCCATCTTTTAACCATTTTTCTATACGGGTTTGAATATCTTTACCAGAGAAAATAATTATATTTTCGCCACCACATGTTGGATATTAAAAAAAAAAGAATATTCCAATGTTGAATATAAAAGTATTGATTCAAAATCAAACAGCAGTTTATTTCATGAATACGTAAAATTACGTTGGGTTGGTTTACAATTTCCAATTACTTGCAGATGCCAATTAAGAAAAACTAATTAGACTGAGAGTGTTACATCCCATTCGGTGGATAATCCTTGTGAGCGTACTGTGAAATTTAATCTGGCCATTATCATATTATCTCAAAGTAACTAATCGTTTAACGACTGAATACGTGCACCAATATCTTCGATTCGAATATCGAACGTTCATGTACATATAGATGAGAGATTAAATAATTAATGAATATAAATATTATTTCAGATCCGTGTATAACAAAGCAGCAGCTACTGATGAATGTTTGAATTCCACTTTATTGATAAGCTAATAATACTATTTGTATAAGAATTAACACAACCAAGTTCATCGCCCTGTAAGTCAATTTAATCTTGAAAATCGATTAAAGCTTCATTAGTTAAAAAAGAATCAAATGGTTTCCTTTTCTAAAATATTCAACTGCTAGATTGTCTTCTTATAAAACTATTGAGAAACTTTTTAAATTAAATTTTCACGTTTATATATATTTATTTTAGAGTCAATTGATTAATCTTACTATAAACTTGATATTTTAAAGCATTCTCAATAAACTTTCTACTTTAGATAAAGTTTTAGTTTGAGAAACAGTATTATACATTGATAAAATGTGTCAAGTTAATTATTAGCCTTTATCCTGGCCTGATGTTTTTAGCACCTTTAGATTATATGAGTGGTAATTTAACTTTACTTTATAACATCTTGCT